TTTGTCAGAGCTGTTTATCGCAGTAAATACCTGAAACGGAGAATTATGTACAGCTATGGTCATCCTAGATCATTCAACCCTGCTAATATGACGAACAAAGAAGCGCATATGATTTATGGTAACAAGAACAAGGAAGCTGGCTCCTCACAAGCTACTGGTCTTGTCAAGAAGAAAAGGCTGAAATTTCAGACTTTTTTTCCAAAACTGAACAGTGTTCTTTTGAAGGTTAGTTTAGGCTTTCGATGCTTTATTTAACTTATGGTGAAATGAGAGCCCACTACTATGTCTGTGCATCACCTGTCATATACCAGTATATGATCATTCTTTTTGTTTAGTTTAATTCTTTTTTTTTTTTTTTTTAAAAAAAAAAACCTGTGTGAAAAAAATCTTGCCAACCAGTTGCAGATAAATTAACTGATATTCAAGCTATGAAATCCACTGCTGAACAAACACGTAACCCCACGGTCCCCACCCAGCCACTAGAGGCAGAACATTCCGCATCACCGAGTCAGTCTTCAATAGACATTCATCTCCATATAACAGAACCGTTTCAACCAACAAACTTTACTTTTCCCAAGAAAACATTAGGCAAACAGAATCACTCATTTCAAGCAAAATGGTTCACTGACTTTCCCTGGCTTCATTATAATGAGGAAAGCGACTCTGTGGTGTGTTTTATTTAGGTCCAACAGAATGAAAAATTGAATCTGCGCGCTGCTAGAAATAAAGAATGGATTTTAATTTCGCACGGATTTTCGAACTGGAAGAAGGCTTTGGTACGATTCAAGGAACATCAACTTTCTGAGTGTCACAAGTTGACCATGGAGTTTCAAATAAGCATTCCTAATGGTTGCGGAAATATCATCCAAATGTCCAACGATGCAGCCAAAAAAACTATCGAGACTAACCGGTTCTGTCTGCTCAAAATTACAGAATGTTTGCAGTACCTTGCTCGACAAGCAATGCCTATGCAAGGAAACACCGACGAAGAATCTAACTTTACTCGGCTGCTCAAACTAAGAGGGAAGGATCAACCTGTCTTGCTAAAATGGTTAGAGAGGAAGGAAGATAAGTACACTTCACACGAGGTTCAAAACGAAATTATTTCTATCATGGCAAATGATGTCATCTGCAATTTACTGGCAGAAGTCCGTGGTGGATTTTTCGCACTTATCGCTGACGAATACACAGATATAAGTAACAAAGAACAGTTAACAATATGTATCCGATGGATTGATAAACAACAACATTCCATCCTTATCAAAAAAATTAAATTACTCTATGAAAATTGAAATACATGGCAAAACAATTAATGAGCATAAAAGTGTTAAGTACTTGGGAATTCTCATGGACTGTCATCTTAATTGGAAAGAACATATTCAACGACTTTCGAAAAAAATATCTAGAGATATTGGTGTTCTTTGTAAAATTAGGCATTGATGTCAATTATACCATGCCACCTTTCGTCCTTTTTTTTCATACGGCTGTATAGTCTGGGGTAACACCTATGATCATGATATTAGACCACTCCAAAGAATACAAAAGAAAGTGATTCATCTAATTACCTTCTCTGACTTTGATACTCATACAAGTCCTTTGTTTTTTCAACTTACACTTCTAAAACTTCAGGATCATATCAAAGTTCAAACTCTTTACTTCACGCACCAATTCTTTATCGGCAAATCACCAAAGATTTTTTACTCATTTTTTATTAAAACTTTAGATAAGCATAATGTTAACACTCGCTTTGCAACTAGGACTACTTTTTATGTTCCAAAAATTCGAACAAACTATGGTAAATTTAATATTCGATTCAATGGACCTATATTATGGAATGAAACTGATGAGAGATTTAAGATTCTAACGCCCTATTCGTTCAAAAGAGAATTATCTATGCATTTCATTAATTTGTATTCAGTTTTATTACTAATTGTTATGTTTTGTTGTTTCTGTTATTTAGTTATTTATTTCATTTACATTTTTATTGTATACATGTTTAAGAATTATTTGATCTGTAATCTATTTCCTTAATAAGAATTTAAAATGTAAAATGTAAAATGCCTCTTTTCTGACCTCACATTTATTTTCAATTAATATATGGTGGTCACCCAACTTGCTTAGCTCTTTAGTTATTTTGGGTGACCAGCAACTGTACGTATTTTCAATTTATTTCTCGTTTAATTTGTAACTAAGGTGATTTTACATTTCAAATAAACCAGTATTGTTGTTAAACACCTGGAGGTCTCTGAAGATATTGTTGGTCTTTTTTCACATACCTGATACAGGGGCGGAAACGATAGTGTCGGCGATTAAAGATGTGTTACTGAAGCTCCAATTATCATTAGCTTACTGTAGAGGACAGTATTACGAAAGCGAGAGTAACATGCTTGTACATAAAACTGGGGTGGTTAGGAGAATCCAGAAACTTCGATTCAGCCCAAGGCTCATTCCACTCACTGTCATGGACATTCATTAAGTTTGAGCGTAAAGGACACAGTAAAAAACTGTAAGTTGCTTCTAAATACACTGGACACAGCAAAAGAAGTCGTAACCCTCACAAAATTTTCTCCAAAACGGGAACGTCTATTGGGAGACATAAAGGAAAACCTTGATGAACAACCTGCAACCGGAGGTGTCATAAGCCTTTGTCCTACAAGATGGACGGTGCGAGCAAGTTACTTTCATCGCATCATAGATAATTACTCAGCTCTTCTTCAGAAGTAGATTGTGTGTCTTGACCAAAAGCCACAGGCAGATGTACGTGGCAGGATTATTGGATGTCAAGCCCAAATGAATACCTTTGACTTCTTCTTTGGGCTACATTTGGGTGAACGGCTGTTCTCGCATACAGATAACCTATCCAAAACATTACAAAAGACAAAGATGTCCGCTGTAAGTGGACAACGAGTCGCCAATCTTACAAAACAGGTCCTGCAGAAGATGCGGAATAACGAGTGCTTCAAATCATTCTATGACACAGTTGTAACCAAGAGTAAAAAGCATCCTTCCATCTTAGAACCAGCCTTACCCACGCAAAAACGAGCACCTAGCAGGTTTGAAATTGGAACAGGGCCCCCATGGTATCCCAACAACACCACAGGAGCATTACAGACGCATAAACTTTGAGGCGATTAAACTAATGGTCAACGCAATTGATAACCGTTTTAACCAAGCAAGTTTCAACGTGTATGCAGAGATGGGGTCTCTTTTAGTTAAATGCCTTAATTGCCAGGATTATTCGACGGAGTTGCATTTTCTTGGAACAAATTACGAAGAGGATGTTGATGTTAGAACATGGAATGTTCAACTGGAAACCTTTAAGGTGTTGATGAAGGACGAAGAATTTACCTGATTTGATGACATTTTAGCCAAGATCAAGCAGCTTTCTGAAGCCGAAAAGTGTATGATAACTGAAATCATAGCCCTATGTAAACTTCCTCTTGTAAATCCAGCAACCAGTGCAGCAGGTGAGAGATCCTTTTCTTCTGCTCGGAGACTGAAAACGTGGCTACGTTCGACGCTGACACAAAACAAGATTGAGCAATCTAACAATACTTAATACCCACAAGCAGAGAACAGACAAACTTTGTCTTACAGATGTTGCCAATGAGTTTGCAGCTCTCAATGAAAATCGAAAAAGCAACTTTGGCACCTTCAAAGAATCCGACTTAAAAATGTCTGGTTGACACTCATCCGTTGCGTCTGCTGGGTTTATCTTAGAAGTTAGTCTGTTCATTTAAATTTGGTCAAGCGTGAAGGCCAGTTTGTTACTCGTTGTTTTATAAGAATTAAAAATTAACTTCACTTTTGGCAGTTCTAGATCCATTTCTAGCCATTTCAGAAGACTTTGATTTCAAATTTTCCCGGGGGAGCATGCCCCCGGACCCCATACTTGAAAATCGCATTAGAACCCCACTTGAAAATCCGCTCCGCGGGCCCTGACAGTATAAAGAGATGTAACGTCCATAGTGAAAAGAAGTTTGTCTTGGTCAAGGAAATTTCCTCGTGTTTTTCTTGTCGCCATGTTCCCACCAATAGCATAGCTCCACTTTCTGCATGTAAACCCACACAACCCACAATTCCTCCATTCGCTCAAACGAAGGGCTAACGCTCGAAACGTTAGCTTTTTTACTCTTTACGGTGGCCAATTTACAATTTCAACTAAGTTGATATTACCAAATTACCTTGTTACCCCCACCGACGCAGCACCACAGTTTCTTTAGAAACTTACCCCCTTTACTCAAATGACAATTTCGTGTCAGGCCTAAATTTCCCTACCACCCTTCTTACCCTGACAAATCATGGGGACGAAGTCATCCCGTGGATAAATGAATAGAGGGGTGTGTTTCCAAAGAAACTGTGGTGCTGCGTCGTTGGGGGAGTATAACAAGGTAATTTAGTTTCATCAACTGAGTTGATAATGTGAATTGGCCCTCGTAAAGAGTTTCAAAGTTGACGTTTCGAGCGTTAGCCCTTCGTCAGATCCATCGCACTGGATAGGTAAGCTCACAATTCTTTACTGGTGGCATTCTTGGTTTGCATCAAGGATAGGTTGATTCCACTGCAACATTTTCCGGTACCCTTATTTCATGATACGATTGGCATAAGGGGAAATGGTCTGATTGGTGATAGCATGCCCCTATGCTGTAATCTGAATGGTGTAAGATACATACCCTAACTAGGCAATCTGATTGGTGCGGGGTACCTATAGCTACCCTGGTGCGGCGATTTGATTGGTGCAAGATACATACCCTAATGCAGTGATCTGATTAGTTAAACTACATACACCTTGATACCCTAACATCAGTAGAGTTACCTTATTTAAATTTTATGAAAAAAATAATTAAAAAAAATATCTATGAAGTGAAGATTGAAGCCAAACAAAACGACCAGTTTATGACATCCAACTTGCGTTTTTAGTTTCAAACCACACACCCTTTCCAAAAAATAAATTTACATTGAGGATAGATATCAAACTCTAGGAAATAATTATTACTTACAGTGAACCTCAAGAGTTGTAGAATGGGTAGAGCTTGTAACCGAATTATTTGCTCTGCAAGTGTACGTTCCTTCCTCTGTTCTGTTTATTCTGTTGAAGATTAATATCGAGGCCTTCTTTCCTGAAGTTTTGACTTTACCCTTTCTGATCCATGTTACATCCGGGTCTGGTTTTCCCGATGCTGTGCAGCTAATATTCACAAAAGATCCCTCCAGGTATCCTTTTTCAATTGTTGACAGGGTTATTTTTGGTGCCTCTGGAAAGAAGCATAAACATTTTGACCAGGAGATCCAATTACATGCAGATCTTTTTGTGTCAAAAGTATTTACTAATGCATGCTTACCATTAAAACACTGACACCTTTTGTAATTTTAAGATAATAAAGTATGAGCACACTGTCGATATCACAGAAAAAAACTCCCACAACAATATAAATGTCTATCTGGGCAAAAAAAAATAACTACAAAAAAATGAATGTGTGTCAAACCACAGCACATTAACATTTGCCACATAATAACTTTACCCCAAAATTTAAAAAGTGACCTCATTAGTCACTTCACTTTTTCAAAATGAGCATCTGACAGCAGTGCCATAATAGAGTCAATTAAACTGGGCAACCTAGAGTCTCACTACGTGTGTGCTTGCTGGTGTAAGCCCCAAAGAGTAAAATTGTAATCGTTTGTATACAGATAGCACCATCCACACAGATAATTTAAGACAGCCACTCAATCATTTTCATGAGTATACTATCACACACGTATTGTATGTAATATTGACTGTCTTCAGATTCAGTACCTATTCATAAAATATTTCTGATAAATAACCCTTTTCCCTTCAAGTGAAAAAGTGTGAGTATTTATGCTTATGGATGATCTATATTTTACTTCAGCTACACTCAGTCTTTGAGCTCTGAATACATAAAATGGCCTCTTAAAGAAGGTTGACTGTTAGAGAGAGAGATTGACCAGTAAATAGGGTCAGTGACAAAATCTAGTCTGTAATTAGAAAAAAGGCAACTTTAGTAGACTGTAGGTTCTTCATTCCCATCAAAGAATCCCATCATAACTTAAATAAAAATGAAGTTGTATTTTGCCCCATCAATGTTAAGCAAAATGAGGAATGATCCTTGTGAGGCAGAAATGAAGCCTGGAAAAATCCATGCTTCCACATGATTGAAACCCATGCCTCCCAGATACACGTTAGGTGCTGCTACTAACTGAGCTATCACGCCACACCCCTGGAGACTCGCTAGGAGTTTTGTTGATTTTTAGTTCAAGGAAAAAATGACACAAAAGCAAACAGCACACTCACCACAATAGCTCTCTCAGTTAATTCACAAAAATTTGAACAATAATTTGCAATACAAACCTGCAATGATAAGTGTAACAGCACTTCTATGTGTTAAACTACCAGTTAGCTCACATTGAAATTTGGTGTTGTCTTTAGGAGTTACATTCTCAATGACCAGGGTAGCATTTCCTTCAAGCCTCACTCTCCCTTTGTAAAGTGGAGGTATGTTTTGATGTATCTTGAGGCCACCATTTTGTTTGTAAAGCATTGGTTTATATTCTTTACCGTTTTGACCATCCACCAAGACATTAAATAAAATGCCTCTGAATGCATTGTTGGTGTCGCTGTAGTCCCAAACCAGTGTGGCATTGCTCCCATTGTTAACGTAGCTTGGATCTGACGGTTCCTTGGTAAACTTAACATCTGCCCCTACAACTATAATAGAAAAAAGTAGCTGTAAATCTTGCATGAAAGTGCACAACCATTTTATACTGGTAGCCACTATGCCACTCCCCTATAAAGACCAATTTAGCATAGGGTTTTCACATCTTGACAGTGTGTCAGTTAATTCAAAGCTTTGAAGAATGGCTTGTTAAAATTCCTGCCACAGCTTTTTTTGTATCCCCGCATTTTGGGTATCCCTGTACCCAAAATACTTGCATTTTCAGGATCCCCTATGGGGATAGCTCCAACACTAAACATGAATTAATTAAGGTTACTTCCCACCTTCGTGGGTGTCCTTTGGGAAAAATTTGTATGCATGCTAGTTGAATGAAAATCCTAACAAACCATAGATCAGAGGAAAGCTTAATAATAAATTTAGTTTATGATTAAAAACATAACTTGAGTGATCTTTTCATTTAGGAAGTGTCATAGCCAATCATGCATGAAACAACCAAGAGTCCTTCTGATGAACTTATTGGGTATGGGATCCCACAGCATGAGCAAAGTGGTTGGACAGTCTTATTCACAAGGCATTAATCAACAAAACTGTGTTGGGCTTTCCCGATATTCCGATTGGTTGTCTAGATAGCTGCATCTAAAGTTAGAGTAGACTAAAATATGCCAGACACGTTACGTAAATGGATGCCGCATGAAAACTATTCCAAATATCAAAATTTCCCATCACACTTTCGTTTGTAATTATCCCTGGAATGTTTTGCTGAAATTTTATGAAAATCGGTCAAATCTACAAACCCTAAAAATTTGCTCAAAATGTACATATTCCTCTCAAAATCAAATGCTAGACTTAAGCTCCATAAGGCTTGTAAACAACTAGCACCACACCAGGAGATTACCTTGCCTCCTGAAACCCCAACCGATACGATGATGGATCAAGATTTTCAAGAAAAGTAACACATTTTTTTTGATATCTCAGTCACTCAGTGGAGCATCAAGAAGGACAACACAAAAGGCAAACTAAAAACCCATAGTAAAAATGGAAAAACCAATGACTTTTTTGTCATCTGAAAGTGGGAAATAGCCTTAAACACGAGACTGGACCAAGTAACATGGTGTCCAATGTTGACTTGTTGGGGACTAAAAAAAAAATTGCCCTCTGAAGTCAGAGAAATTGTTGTCCTATGTTAAGAAGACCATAGACCTTCACCAGTAGCCTTTGCAAAAAAAATTTTAACCCTCTCTTTGAAGCATAAACACCATAAACTATATATCAATGGGAAGTTTATGAAATGCACTAAGGGAAAAACTTATTTCATTTTAGCTTGATATGATTGTAAACTGAATGAGCTCCAACAATTCAAAATGGACTGTGTTTCTTTGAGCAAATCAATGACATATCAAATTTCAAATTTAACAGCACAAATAAATTTTCTCCACAATTTCAATCCTCAGGGGTTGGTCTTCAAAACAGTAGGGGGATTTTGAGATACTCTCATTAGTTGCTTTGCAATTTACCTGTTAAGTTTGCTGATCAAAATTTTAGCAATATGCATTATGCTGGAAACCATTGTGGGAGATCCATTAAGAAAAATAGAACTCTCCCACATGGTTATATTTAGGTTGTCACCTTGGGACCAAATTTCAAAGCAATCCGTAAAGTTCACACACCCTATTAATTAGTTCAAAGAAGGCACGGGCGCATAACATTGAACTGGGCTTTTTTGCTTCCAAAGTTTTCCTACCAATTCAAGCATTTGGCTGACCATACACCAAGTTATGTCAACACTCTGAAAAACTTGAAATGCCAACTGCTTTTATCGAGACATGGAAGCATCCTACTCAACCAAAACATATTTTGCTGGCAACCATCTTACAAACAGACCTTCCATTTGATTCTGCTGAATGAAAATTTTTATTTAACTCTTTATTTTTCAATTTAAAATTGGCTTAAGAACACTGCAGCAAAACTTAGTGATTGCTGATGGAGTATGAGTAGAGAAGATGGCCTAAATGATGAGCCCTTATCTTTTCGGTGAGATGCTTTCACCAATCAAATTTCTTTTCTTTTTGTGCCAACAGCCAGGATTCTTTTTTACTTTCACCTGAGGACTCTTTTCCTTTTTATCTTTCTCCATTCACATTCTAGTTTTAAATGCACAGAGATATCAAAGATCTCTATGTGCACCTGATTAATCAGATGTTTACAAGATTGGCTATTGTCACTTTGCTTAGCTAAAGAATTCAATTTGTAAATAACTTGCTTTTGTTTGATATTTTCCCCAAATTTTTCTTGGAACCCTTTGTTACAATAATAATGCTTACTTAGACAAGAAAAAGAATTGTAAAAAAAATGGCCCCCAAGAGAAACAGTATCCTTAAATAACAACAGAAATGTCCATAAGGATTGAGTTAAAAAACAAGAGTGGTCAGTCAGATGAATGGGGTTAATTGCTTCACTCATAAAAAAATTGAGATACACCCATCTTGATGTCTTGAATATAAGAAGGAAAAATTTTTTATTTCCAATTTGTGAGGACTTTGTGTAATGATTCTCTCAAACAAATAGGATTGAACACCACATCAATAAGGATTTCGGTACTTTGGCCACTGTTAGCAGGGAGTAGACAAGGAATGATCTCCTTAACTCAGTTTCTGCAGTTGTGATGTACAATTGTATTTAAAAGTAATAAATTAAAATGTCAATAATAATAATAATAACAATCTTTTATTAGGAAGCTCCATCACAATAGTGGTTTACATAGAGGTCCTAAATACTAGATGTGTGTTACATAAAAATACAATTAAAATATAAAAATTTGAGCTAAAATCGAAATATAAAAATGATTACAACATACACACTGCAAAGATTAATTTAAAAAAAATACTTAATTATAAAAAGCAGAAACGAGACACTTCTTAAAAATAATTGGCAAACTTACTGAGTTTCTTACAGTTCTCTCTAACTCATTAAAGTTTTTGAAACAGTGATACCATGAACGATGTTTTCCCCAATTGTATTTGATTTTGGGGAGCTTTATAGTATCGTTATTAAACAACAACAAACATATGAAACATATGTGTGAACTGCGGTTATGAGACGTATCTGAGAACGATCCTTCGCAGTAAAGCACTATTTGAGCAATAGTGAATCACTTTTTGGTGATGGTTTTCTATGGGAAACGAGGCCCCAGGCCTTAAACAAGCAGCCATTGTTACCATGGCAACAAGAGTGCTGCAACCTTTAAACAAGGCATACTTGTGTATCCCCCCTGAGTGCCTAACTGCATGCAAAATTTGAAGGGGAGTTGAAAATTTTCATTTCCAAGATGTTTGATTCTTACAGACTCATTCTTAAATACAACTGATACAAATAAATTACTGTTTTTCTACCTTCACAGTCCCTAAGAAGAGGGAATATCCAGTTCTCTAGAGATATGGGAATTTTCCAAGATGGCAAACATGGTGGAAAACTGTCATATTTTCCAATTTGTAGCACCAACATAGTTCTTATTCTTATCTGTGCACCATTGAAAGAATTAAGGCTTATCTACTTTTTGATTATAAATATTGCAGGAGATACCAAAATCCTTAATGATATTTTTAGCTCCTTCCAAAAGTATGACCTTATAAACGATATAAACCAGGGATCTCAATTGAACCCATAACCCATAACACCTATCAAGGGTGTCACTAGCAAGTGTTACGGCTGTTGTTTCACTTCATCTAGAAGATCAATTTGTCTATTAAATGCAAACAAAATAACAACTTTGCGAGAAAGTTACTGAGTTTAGTATTGACTGTTAGCCAGTTTTAGTTTTTCAAATGAACAGCCTGCCAACAGAGCACAAAATGACTGAGTAACTGCTATGCTTTGCAACATCTCTGCAATGTTGAATACTAGCAACTAAATACAGGAATGGCTCTGACCTGTAATTGGATGTAAAAAAAAAGTAAAAGTAAAAAAGTTACATCTTAACTCCTTGGTTGTGAGTATTGTTTAACTGTGTGTCTTGAAGCAGAACAATGAAATATCAATACAAGTAAAAACACCAACGCATCAAACAAGAAATGGTTACTTACACAACGAAGCGAAGGCAGAGCCTTTCTTGTTCAGTGAGGTCCTCGATGAGTTATTCAGTGATATTCCAGTGATGACTAAGTCATCAGCTGACTAGCTCCTCTGACTAAACTCATTCAGTCAGGTCAGGCAGACAATTAGAAACTGTAGCCATACCTGTATAACGCCACTGACAGGAATGACTCCAACTCAAGCATTTATTAGGTAATTTTTTTTCACCAATTTTTTGTTTTGGCTAAATAATTTGTACACTGAGATAAAAACTGAAGGAGTGCTCTTCCTATGTTGAATGTTAAGTAATTTATACACTGAGATAAAAACTGAAAGGGTGCTCTTGTTATGTTAACTCTACAATGCTTGTAAATGAAGCCCTCTTTTATAGGTACAGGGCCATGTACTTTTTTGGTAATAATGTCAATTTTTCATATGACCAGTATGACCCCCCTAGGCACTTATCACAAAATTCTAAGAAAATCCCCATATGAGGGCCTGAGTGATGCAAAAGTAGAAATAAAGAAAAAGACAGTGTGACAATAAATTCTTATTAAGGTGTGGCCTTACTGGAAAATATTTGGCTCTCAGTCATGGCACATGGATCTCACTGTGCTTGGTTGGTATACAAATACATGCTCTTTTGCAGCAACTGCATGTCATATTTGGAATGCTACGCAGTGCCTTTCTAGTGTTGTGTGACCTCAGTTTCTTTTTCAGCATTCTTTTTTGTTTTTTTCCTTTTTTCAGGTCCAGTGGAGTTGTTAGAAATTACCAAGCAAAATTAAAGTAATCTCAGTGTTCCACAGAAAGAAACTCCCCCAGTTGTGGCCAAGCCACTTTCCTCTTGCAGAGCATACCGTAAATTAAAAATATTGGCTGCAGCATCACCTAACACTGTGTGATTTTCAAAACGTGACATGGATTATTTTAAACTTAGACACTACATGGCCCTGTATTAATT